CCAGAAGGATCCTGCCACTGGCCGCCCCCGCCCCCCCCGCAGGCCGCCCCGGGCAGGCCGGGAAAGCAATTAAAAAGGGAGATTTTTAAATTATTCACATTTGGTGAATTATTCAGGCTCTCGGTGCTGGAGCGCCGGGCAGGCCTCGCCAGGGGCGGAAGCGCTGCCCCTTTGCCAGCAGCGCCGGGGTGGACGGGTCTCTCCAGAGCCTTCTGGGCCCTGCAGGCCTCTGCCCAGCAGGAGGCCCAGGCCCGGGCCTGCCAGCCTCTCGCGGGCAGCTCCCGAGCCGGCCTGCTGGGCCTGGTGGCCGGCGCGTGGGCCAGGGACGTCAGGGGAGGCACCGTGCCCGGGGGCCACCTACCGGGACCTGGGACCAGGTGGTAGAGGCGCTGGGGGTCCTGGAAGCAGCTGGCCTCGCTCAGCGCGGACACCAGCCTGCGGTAGTGCTCGGGGGCCGTGGCGGGCCCCAGGTCGGACAGCAGCGCAGCCTCTGTGGGGGCGGACGGCACCTGTCAGGCCGCGCCCTCCGCCGGGCCGCCCGCCTGCGGTCAGCTCCCACCTTGGGGGGACTGGCTTCGGGCCCTCTTCTCCAAGGGGCGGTCACCGCGGGTCTGCGCAGGGCGGCCCGGCCTCTTGCCCCGCAGGTCACCTGGGGAGGGGAGTCACATGCAGGGGCCGCGGGTCGGAGCCGCCTCGGCCCACGTGGGGGCGCAGACGCGGGGCGCAGCCAGGCCCCTCCCAGCGTGGCTGGGAAGCCGTGGGGCTTGGCAGCCGGGCCCACCCCGTCCGCAGCGGCCCCACTCGTCCTGCTGGGCGGTCGCAAGCCGCAGGCCCTCAAGGCCTCCTGAGGCCCGGTGGGGCTCGCTGCTGCCCCCCGAGAGCCAGGCCAGCCAGCTGCCCAGCTCCGGAGGGCACCCCGGACGCCCCCGCACCAGCCCAGGCAGGCCACCCAAGGGCACTCGCCCCTCCGGCCCGCCCTGGCGCCAGGCTCCCACGGCCGGTGGCCAGTGGACGCGGCGGCCGCTCGGGAGCCCGGCGGCGCAGAGGCTAATTCCTGTTTCTTATTCCCTTAATCTGTCATTTTTATCAGGCCGGGAGAGCGGCCCGGGGAGCCGATCAATCTCCACTTTACAGCTGACAGAATGGTGCTAATAACTTATTGATCTTGGCCACCTCGCTGCCGCTGGCCCTGCCCCAGGAGGGTCAGGTCCCCACTGCCCGAGGGCTCCCGGGGAGCCGTGCCGCAGCGCTGGGCCACAGGGGCCCCAACCGCACAGGCCTCCAGAGGCCAGGGCAGCCCTGGCGCCCGCCTCCCCTCTCCTTGGGGGGCCACAGGCCAGCAGTCGCTGCCTGTCCTTGGGGGGCTCTTTCGAGGGGCCTGGTCACTGCGGCTCCCTGACTCGCCCAAGTCCGCCACAGGCAGGGCGGCAGTGGACCAAGATGGACAGTGGCCAGAGGAGGTGGCGGCAGGCAGACACCCCACGAGGCCGGAGGGACTGGTGGGGCCCGAGCGGGCGGGGAGGGGGCTGGGGGTGCAGGGCCGGCCCGAGCCAGAGTGGGCGCAGGCCGGCCGGCCGCGTGGGAGGGCGGCCGAGGCCCGGGCACCTCAGTCGTGCTCCGGTCCATGCGGCAATTAGGTTTGATGCCCGGTGCAGGCGGGGGGACGCTCCCTGCCGGCCCCGAGGAACGGCCACAGCCAGAAACCTCGCTCCCCCCACCCCGTGCTCCGGGTTGAGGCCCCTGGCCACTGCCTCCAGGAGCTGCCCCTGGGGACCTGCCCCTTCCCGGGGGTGCTGGTTCCTGCCTTCCGGTGGC